AGTAGTCGTCGTCGTCGGCTTCGTAGTAGAGTAGTAGTAGTAGTAGTAGTAGTAGTAGTAGTAGTAGTAGCAGTAGAAGACGTAGTAGTACTAGTAGTAGTAGTAGTAGTAGTAGTAGTAGTAGTAGTAGTATAAGAAGCAGTAGTAGCAGTGGCAATGGCGGACAAAACCCCAAACCCTAGACCCCAAACCCTAGAAACCACAGCCGCCAGGGTCCAGGCGCTTCCACTCCGCCGCTTGCTGCTGCAGGCTCTCGTTTAGGGTAATTGGGTTTAGGGTTTAGGGTTTAGGGCTTAGGGTTTAGGGAGGAATGAAGGCATCGGGAGATCTTGCGGCGAAGGGTCATGCCGCCCACTCCTACCTACTCCTACTGTTCTTACCTTTGGGGTTTAGGGTTTTGGGGTTTTCAGCGGCGAAGAGGCATGCCGCACGACGATTCTGATAGCTAAGTAGTGTGTTTAGGGTTTAGGGTTTAGGGAGGAATGAGGGCATCGGGAGAATCTTGCGGCGAAGGGTCATGCCGCCCACTCCTACCTACTCCTACTACTCTTACCTTTGGGGTTTAGGGTTTCGGGTTTTCAGCGGCGAAGAGGCATGCCGCACATAGCTAAGTAGTGTACCTACAATTGTACCTTATTCTCTGAAAACATAACAGTAGAACAAAGGCTACCTTTTCTTGTGAATGCTTTACTGGGCAACCCAAGCCTCCTTCTGCAACTGAACCCAACCCTATCAAGCCATTTATAAACTCTTCCTGGACCCTAAAGAAACCCAAAACCCTAATTGAACCATGAAGCCCTTCTTTGGAGGAATCCTGAAGCCCCAAGCCTTGGCCCCTGGGTTTAGGGTTTATAGGGTGAAGGGTTAAGGGTTTAAGTTCAATGGCAAGTGAAGGCACTTCTGATTCGATTCTTCAGCGCCTTTTCGCACTCTCTCCGAGTATCTTATATCGCAACCCCTAAACTAAACCCTATAAATCCCGAACCCCGCGAGTGGCGCTGCATCCAGCACCTGCAGGCAAAAAGATGATGCTTGGACGACGAGTCCTGCACGAGAGCCTGATGAGCGTTGGGGCTTACAGGGTTATTGGGACGCCGGGAACTTATCAATCTCCCAGCCATCAGAATCTGAACCCCCAGCCCTTATAGACTAAACCCCGTAGTTGAAACCAAAACTAGTCGATACAAACAACACCTGAGCATCAGCGTCACAAAGTTCGCTTCTGCAAGCAGCAACATGATATACTTTCTCATCAACCGGTGGCTGTGCTGTCTTTCTTTCTGAAAAATCACATTGGTGCTTAAAAATATAAATAGTTCCCATACACTGGACACGCATAGTCCAATCAATCTACAAAACTCCAACAAAGGTTCTGGGCTGAATAAACAGTGCGATGTCTGGTGGCGAGTTCTCACAGCATGGAAACATGATTCCTTTATAGTCAGAAACCGGAAAGTGATTTGTGTTTAGTTTGGTTTTGTGGCTTAAACCGAAAATTGATTTGTGTTTAGCTTGGTTTGTGTTTCGTGTCTTTTTCCAAAGTCATTTGAGCCGAGCATCTTGGCATTATGGCATCATCAGCATCAGAATACAGCTGAACACCCCCCAAACACCCGACCTACATTCGGACACGGCTAAAAGTGAGCCAGCTATGGCATCCGCAATTTTTTTTGCCATTTCCAAGCTATGTTTTGCAGCGCCTGGCTCTTCGGAGCTTCGAGCGACATCCATCCATCCATCAATGCGCTCCGGCAGGAGGTGCATGCACAGGCTGAGCAGATTGGTCATCTCAAGACCCAAGTCGACCAGCTGGAGTGTGAGCTGACGGCGGTGCGTCTACCTGCTGAGTTTCAGCAGCCGGCAGCAAAGAAGCGCCAGCGAAAGTGACATGTGGCTACTTCTGGGACTTGCCTTGTGAAGGAGAAGGCAGAATGGGGAACCCTAAGCAGAAAGGTTTTCTATTAGGGTCGGTTTAGGGTTTAGGATTTAGGGCTTAGGGTCTACGGTCTAGGTAGCTGTAAAGCCTCTTCCCAGGATCAGACGATTCTTCATGGAACCAAGGTTGACCAGGTCGGGAACCGGGGGGTTAAGGGTTTAGGGTTGGGTAGGGTTTAGGGTTTAGGGTTGGGTAGGGTTTAGGTTTGAGAATTTGTCATCAACGCTTTCAGAGGCTTCGTAGAGGTTCTGTGGGGTTTGGGGTTCAAGGTTGGGTGCGGGGTATAGGACGTCTGCATTTGGTCTTGGGGCTGCGGGCCATGATTGTATATGTGATGGGACAGGAGGTTCAGGCGCTTGAACTTTAGGGCTTGATGGCTGGAAGTTTAGGACATTTAATTTACGAGGGAGCGTATAGCAGTTTTGCTGATACTGTATTGAGCCAAGATATGCAAGCCTTAAACTTAACACTCAACCTTGCTGCTCGAATTTTCCGCACACAGCCTGCGTCGAGTCTGCATCTAGAGAACAGTCGCTTAGTCGGTGATGCTATTTGATTCTAGTTCGTAAACCCTTAAACTCTATGGCCGCCTTAATCTCAAACAGTAACATCTACAACGCGGTTTTTCATCTTGATCCAATCCATACACCCTATCCCCTAAACCCTAAAAGATCGTGTTGGAAGGTGGGTTTGGATCCGAACATCGCTCTCCTCCACTCAGCTGTCAGATATTCTCATCGAAGACCCGAGCTAGTGTAAACAAGTCGTAGTACACCGAGGGTTGACCGACCCGAATATCAGGGTCATGGGCATCAGTACCACCTTAAACCCCACGATTTGGTTGTAGGGTTTCGGGGTTTAGGTTTTAGGGTCAAGGGTTTAGGGTTTAGGGTAGTTTGGGGATACAGGTAGTCTTTGCATCAGAAGGTTTGGATGATGCACCAAGGTGTTACCAGCAAAGATGATCCAAACCCTACCTGAACCTACCAAAACCTATTTTTGGTAGGTTCCTAACTTGAACCCTAATATGGAATTCAGAGGGACCCTACAAAAAAGTAGGTTCTGGTAGGTTAAGGTATCTATCGAATCCCAACCTAGCTGGAACACCTGTTGTTTCGGTGGCAACTCTTCTGACTTGCAATACCTACCTGTCCTGACAGTTCAGCGCCTCAGCCTAGGTTCTATGGCATCGACTTTTGTACTGTTTTGTACCGGATGAAAAAATCATTGGGGTTGCCGAGACGGAAGGATTGAGCCGGAATCGCGTAATATACAAGAATTATAGTAGAAGCCCGAAAGTTGGAAACCCAATAGCCTCAATCCTTAAGAGTAATGCATAGGGAATCCCAGCACTATTTGTCCTTCATCCGGTTTCCGAGTTTTCGGGCTTTACTATAGAATGCGTTTCCTCAGTTCTAGCAGTGTTTGGTACACGCGCAATGTATCCCTGATGAATAAACAGCTACAGTATGATTGGACTGGTTGGACCCTAGAGCAAATCAACTCGTTTCTTTCGTGTCTCTATGCATGAATGTTGACTCCTAAGGTTCATGCGGTTTCGGTTGAGATTATAGTAGACCCGAAAGTTGGACACTGGATTAAGGACAATGAGTGCCGGGATTCTTTATACGCTACTCTTGAGGATTGAGGCTATTGGGTTTCCAACTTTTGAGCCGCTACTGTAGGTTTCGGGTTTAGGGTTTAGGTGTTGGGGTTTAGGGTTTAGGGTTTAGGGTTTAGGGTTTAGGGTTTAGGATGCCTTTTAATGTACCTAGAGTCTCCATTGTAGCTCCTTTTTTTGGTTGAGCCAGGTTTATGACTAGGATCGTAT